GGTTTTCTTACTGCACAGAATATAGTAAACACTGCTTCAATTAAATATTTTACCCTTTTTTCTCTCCTGTGTGATCTACAATAATAATCTGCTTCATGTTGATATTTACTGCTGTGTTGCTGACAAGTACCTGAAAGAGAAGTTGGGGTGCTTCCCTGGGCTGGAAAAGTTTAGCTAAATCAGAAAAGTTTAGCTAAAGCAGGTCTAATTAAGCAAGTTTTGCTCAAGAAAGAACTTACATGAGGAATGAGGTGGAATTTATCTTGATGGAAGGCAAGTGTCTACAAAGTGGATAAGCAAGTGATGGAAATAGGTTTAAAAGAGAAAGATGAACACTGATACAGGAATCCAGACCCCAAAAAAGGATCATTCAGGGTGTGGGGTGGTTTACCATGGCATGTCTCCATAATATTTTCTAAGGTTGATTTTAATTTCTATCTGTAGAAATTTGTTGTATAATCATTTAGTTTATTGTGTCCTAACCTGATCTAATTTCCTTTTCTTTAATACAGGCATAACATATCAACCTCAAAGAATTATTGTGAGGATCAAATGAGATATTACAGAAAAATACATTAAATTTAATAAGCTGGGGGGAAATTCAGTTTCTTGCTTTTCTCCCCTAATCTCACCACCTTATTGCTTCTTTAAACTTTCTTTACCTCTCACTAAATTTGACACATTTAACTTACTATTTTATATCACTTTCTGTTATTTTGTGATGTGTTTCCTCAACTGATTTTATTAATTTTTAAATGTTTATCTGCTTAGTGTTTATAATTTTAGGTCAAAAGAATAGGGATAAAGAGAATAGCTATCAGAACAATCCATTCACAAAACAGGAAATATTAAATATCTGTTTCCACATAGCTTTGTAAGTTCTTCCAGACTTCCGAAGATTCATTCATTTAACAAACATTTATAGTATTGAACAATTACTACGTGCCAAACACTACGCTAATCTTAGCTTTTTCAACATTGAGCAAGACATAATTTCTCCACTCAAGGACTTTACAATACAACAAGAGAGACAGAGTACATTATCAAACAATTACAGTATGATGTAATAAGTATAGGAAAAAAGGTACTGAGTGATACAGAAGTATAAACAAAGAGTACCCAAGTTAAGCAAGGACTGCTTCTGGATAAGGTAACATCTAAGCTGAATCCTAATTGTGGCTAATGGGTAGTAGTCCCCTAGGAGAACAGCTGCAGATTGTTGTGCAGAGGTGAGAAACAAACTGTTAATCACTGAAAATAATCTATGTGGCTTGAGCATAGTGTGTAAGGTACCGGATTGAAAGAGATTAGGATGGAGGTTGGTAAAGATGAAGTTTGCCCAGGTCATGAAAGTCTTCGTAAGCCATGTAAAGGAATTTGGATTTTATCGTGAAGGAACCATGGAAGGGTTTTAAGCAGGAAAATAACATGGTAAGATCTGTGTTTTAGAAATGCCACTATGATTATTAGGGAAGAAGCAGGGAGAGTGGATGGGAGAGGCAAGATAAGAGGCTGGGAGGCAAGAGATTATTGTAGTAATCCAAGAGAAATGTTGAACGCTTGATTTAACATATCTAAATTTCACTTTGCTTATCCATAAAATAGGTAATACCTACTTGTAAAATTGTTGTGAGGTTGAATTTAAAATAATGCATGTAGAATGCTTACTGCATAGCATACATAGTACAAATGCTTATTAACTGTTAGCTATTGTGATGATTTGTGGTTTTGAGGAGGTTTATGATGTGGGCAACTAGGTGAATGGAACTGACATTCTCTAAGAGAAAACACAGGAAAGGAACAAGTAAGACCAATGTTTTCAGAATGAATGAATCATTAATTAGATTTACCTGTCAGCAGATTTGGCTATCAGGAGTATACCAACGATTTCTATTGTTTCTTCTTCAATAATCACAGCCACACATACAGGTGTTTGCTCAAAATAGTATTATCCCTTAGTTCCTAAGAATTCATAAGTCATTTGACCCCATCCCCATGGTCATTAATTGGATTAAAAATTGATATGCAACCAAAATTGGACAGAGATTTTAAAAAAGAAAAGATATTACTGAATCTTAGTTTGCATTTGCACTGATAGGCTGTGCACACAGAAGCAGAAAAAAAGCAATGCCTTGAGAGAAGAAGCAAGCCAACCAGAAGAAATGATGTGCCCAGAGAGGGAAGGAAGAACAATTGCACTGATTCATAATAGCTCTCCCGTTCCTATTTCTAGTCCATAGTGAGTTTCAACTTCCTATCATTAGGTCTATGAAATATATTTACATCCATATAACAAATTCCCT